TTTTTTWWCTTTTTTACCCAAACATTAAAATAAATTTAAAAATGAAATAATTGTAGTTCTTGTAAATCTTATTATAAAACCAGAATTTTGATATCACCATTATTTCGTTAGATATCGCAATGGGTAAATCCTCGCGGGACACTCTGTATAGTAGTACAACCAAATTAACCGATCTGAAATGATACCCTTTTATTGTATCTTTAAATGTGAGCACAGCTAATTATAAAGATAAAATATATAATTTCCCTATTCAAATTGTTAACTGTATATGATAATATGATTGTCGGGTTTTAGTATCAAGATACTGGCTGTAGAGGAAATATATTAGAAGAAAATTGGAAGAAAATTATGTAGTTTGTCACTTAATAATGCAATATTCTTCCAATTATTTGGTTAAGAGAGCGTTATACCTGCATGTGTTGTCATCTCCGTCTTACTATAGTGCGTAACATGGCACGCTTTATACTCAGCAGATCACGTTTTGCTCCGTTAGTTTAAAAATAAGAGTGAATTAAACCTCTTATTTTACTTCTTATAAAATTTAAAGGTAAGAATATTATTTAGAAGACCTCATGTTTTTTTTACTATATTCTAATTTTCAAGCGAGTAGGTAGGTGGTACCTAATAAGTATTTTAAAATTGTAAATTTTTTACACATCTTAAAACACTTATAACTCGCTTCAAAATTAAAATATAGTAAAAATCCCATATTAGATAATATTCTTATCTTTAAATTATATAGGAGATCAATTCACTCTAATTTTTAAACATAATCTGCTAATCGTAAAATTTGTAAGACGGAGACAACACATGCGGGTATCACGTCCTTTTAAAGAAACCATTTGTATTCAGACATTCAGTGCCATTTAGGGAGAGGGCAAAAAAGGCGAATGCCACAAACAGCAAAATTTTCGGGGCAGCGAAAGATTTTAACTTTTATTAACGATGTTCGTGATTTTCACACTTTTTTCGATATTGTTAAGTATCTTAAAAAATACTGCTGAGCATTTAATTAGAAATTACAAAAATTATTCTATATCTAGCCATTTAGGTAATACTGAAAAAGAGCAATAGGTATATTACATTTATTATTCGACAAGATATAATATTTTAGTTCAATGTTTATAATAAAGGTTCAGGTACACAACACGTGGTCAGCTGTAGCAGCCGGATACGCAAAAATACGTATCTAATAGCTATTGTTAATCTATGCAATGWGTATGTAATACAGACTTTGGTAAAATACCTTTTAAAAGTATTTCGAATACATATTCCGAATAGGTACTTAAAAAAAGTATTCCAAATATTTTTCGAATACTTTTTTTTAGCAGATTAAGTGATTTTTTATTAGATTTTAATAACAAAACTATTATATGTTCTTTGTTCTTTCAATTCAGTGACGCAACTACCTATGGTCTACTTTAGGGGGAGAGGGCTTAGACATTTATACATAACAGACATACAGTCTCCCATTAGTTAATTACTTATTTAGGGAACGCTGAAGTCATAATAATATCTTATCGTCRTCGTTAGCTCATTGGTACAAAATTGGAAAATAACATTACTGTTCTAATAAAAACAGAAGAAAACAAAATATTATATTATTATAAAATATATTGTATAGAAATATACATGTATACAACTATTACAACTTATACAAGTACAAAAGCAATTTCTTGGACGGAAAAAAAATGAAATTATTTTTAAAATGTAATTGGAGGTTAAAAAGTATTCCGGATATACTATAATAGTATTTGGAATACTACCAAAGTCTGAATTATAATAAGTGTTGCTTCCGTTTTTTTAATATAAATATATAATATATACATTTACAAATACATATTTTAAGAAAGGAATATTCACTAAAAAAAAAAAATTAGTTTGATGTTTATTTATATATATAATTTTTTTTTTTTTTTTTTGGTAAGGGAGGAGGGCGAAAAAAATAAAAAATAATTTTGAAACTGGGTGCGTATAATATTAAACGCACCACTGTTTGTACTGATTAAATTACATGGAGTTAGTGAAGGGTAGACTTTTAGATACCTAGTAAATATGAAGCATATTTGGAGCAAAAACTAACGATAATTTCCCTTTTAAATGTTATGACTGTGGTCGTATTGAAGATGTCTGTTTTGGAATACATATTTAAAAAGAAGATATTTAATAAAGAAAAATTAAGACCAATAGAAAAGAAAGATACAAATTCAGYAGCAAATAATATAAGTATGATATTATATATTAGTTGTGAAAAAGTGTTAATTTTTCAATTGAAAATACAATCAAAACAGTTGAAGATTCAAATTAGATTTTTTGTAACATTGATTTAAATTAGGCTAGTTGAAACAATACCTATTTTATATTTAAACTAGATTCTTTACACAGGAATCAAGTTAAAAGAAATTAAATATATTACTAATCATTCTTTCAAAAATTCAAAATCCGTTATTATTATTTGTTTCACCTATTTTATATGATTGTTACTCCGATAACAATTACATGAATAGTTGATTTAAATTTGGTGGTTTRATTATTTGCCGTGGGACACATGCTTAAGTATATTTAAATATGTTACTCACCCAACAGACTGCTTCGCATTATGATGCCAGCGTTGTTGACCAACACGCTGACGCCATTGAGCGCAGTATCCACCCATCCAAATACATCCTTTACTGCTCGTTCGTCGGTGATGTCGCAGGTCTTAGGATAGAAAATTCCTCGCTGGCTACCATCCGGAATTGTCATGACATCTTCTAATGAATTTGCTAATTTCTAAGTGGGTAACCAATATTATTTATTTATTTTTATTATTAATTGTAATATTGTGTAGTGCATGTTAGAATATAGGATTCATATATACACGGACCTATGTGTTAAAGAAGCGAACCAATGACGACTAAGATACGTAAAACAAAAATTAAAATAAGTGTCACGTACTTTAATTTACTCAATGGTCACCCACTAGGAAAATGTCTTCRTTTTTAAAAAATTTTTTAGAGCACAATATAAAATAATGATCAAACAACAAGGAAAATAATTATATATTTTTCACGCCTAAGGTTAGATTTTGACACACTCTAGTACTCTACTACCTTCACACTCTTATATAAACTTTCTCTCAATGACTCTCCTTTATGCATGTCACATATCCACGATCTTGTCATCTGCGATATCTCTTACATACTTTTTCACTGTCCCTCTCTGGCTCCCCAACGCAATATCCTTGCGTCCTAATTCTCTCTTTTAATGTCCCTTTTGACACCCAATCCATTCTCTCCTCAYCAATTGTACCAATTACTATATCACTTATATCCTTCTTCAACCAGGCTGATTTAATAATTTTATTTATTTATTTGTAATATATTTTCTWTCATTAATTTTATGTAGGTACTAAATTTATTACTCACTATATTTGTAATCATAAAATTGTCGAAACTAATTGTTAACTGCAAAGTTTCCTTTAAATAAAAAAAAATTATATATTATTTGGGGTCAGCCACCTTTGTCCTACACCTCCACTTTTCTCAACTCTCTTCATTTTCTATGCACACAGCCAACAACCCTTACATCATTCTCAATATCAAACTACCTCTTTTTTGATCTTTCTCTTCCTTTTTTCCCTTCAACATTCATTTTCATAACTACTCTTACTGCTATTCCCTCTAGTTTTTGTATACCTACCTATATACAAATACCTACATTTTAACATTGACTATATGTTGTCAGTGTAGAGGAAACTACCTCAAGCTTTGTCGACTGTACGTCCAACCCGACTACGTTTAGGCCGTGTCGGATCAGCTCTACTGTCGTGGCCGCTCCAATGCCCGATCCGGCACCTGTGACGACCGCGTTTCTACCTTTCCACTGGTCCATTTYAATATACTGCAAACACGTTAACAGAAATATTATAATTATGTTGCACAAAGAGTTAAATTTATATTTTCTACAATACAAAAAACGAGTTTTTAATATTTTCTAGGTTCAAACTTCAAGTAGGTATCGACCGAACGCGAGATAAAATATAATATATAGGTAAGATATAATAGTGTGGTTTTTCTACGATGTAACGCAGCCGATGGGTAAATATTATCAGTGTCTCTTTAACAAACATGTATAGGTACCTACTAGTTTATATTATACTAATTTGATCAATAATAAAATCGGAAAATATAACTTAATACCTAATATAATATTTTAAACTTAAAGCTACTTTTTTTTTTTTTTAATCAAAAACCACTCGTTTAATATAGGTCACAGTGGTAATAATATTGTGTTCTGACATTAATTTGAATCGCAAGTCGTTTAAGCCTTAATATAATGATAAAGCTTTATTTATTCAAATAATAATGATATTACCTGTCACCTATCATAAACATACCTATATACACGGCGATTATCAAAAACTATATACACCCTGGATACAGTAGGAACGGTAGGTAATATAAAAAATCATTTTCATTTAAAAATTTAATATTACCTAATCATTTTTCGTCTCAATATCTATTGTAATATACTGTAGGGATGTCTACAAGTATAATAATATATAAGTCTATATAGGTATTTCTTTCTCGTGTGAACAGTACACTTTAATATTCAATGTTTCAACATTTGTATGGGAGGTACCAATTCAAAATCTGGTTATTTTTTTGACTACCTACCAGTTAAGGTTTGTAAATTCATAGGTATACCGTATGTCCGTACCTATACATGTTTCCAGTTATTTTTATTTTTATTTATGTATAGCAATGTACCTATTATGAAATTTAAACCCTAATATCCACGAACGAATTACTGATTCACTATAATTAGGTAGATAGCTATAGGTCACGAATAATGAATAATCAATACCTAAGTAATTGATCAGTAATATTGAAAATGAATCACTCTGTAATTACTAATTCGTACGACTTTTATCTAGAAACTTTAAAGTCAATTCATGAAGACCAGAATGATAAACCACAAGGTTATAAGCCACCGGTACTTAAAGCGCTTCGGTGGCTTACATAGCAAGTTAAACTTAATCTATTCTATTCTGTGAACTTACTACATGCACGCATCGTAATAATATTGTATATTTAATCACAATTTATGATATTAGTTATCTTAGGTAAGATTTTAWAATAAATATCCATTATTTTAGATATGGTGATTTGTTAAATATTATTTCTTATTTTTCAAGTGATAAAATTACGACTTATATAATTAAATGCAATTATGCTAGTAACGTGTATGATCGTATAACTATATAACATTAATATTTAATAGATCATAATTTCATATTAATTGGGATTTTKTTATTCATTTTTAGTTAAAAATATATTACTATAAATCATAAAACACTGATAACTACCTACCTATATATGCATACACTAGTAGATACACTATGTCCTATACCCTAATCTATATTTATTGAAATAATGGTGAATTGTTTGCATGTTGTACCATAAGAATTATTTTGAAAATATATTTTTTGACGAGACTAAAAAAAATTACCTATAACTCACTTAAAAATTAAAATACCGAAAAAAAGACCCTTTCAACAAACCACAATATGCCTCCGATCAGAATTGTTTTACGTATATAATGATTTATCATTGAATTCAAAGTTAATACATAAAGACACTGTGACAGTATAAGAGACATACTTTACAAAATGACAACAACTGTACAGCAGTGACATATTTACTGGAGAGGGTATGATTTGGGGATGGATTCTTCCCATGAATTTTTTTTTTTTGTTTTCTGCAGCTTGAGAATATGTGTGGTTCAGATGAGTATTTATAGAAACATCCCACTGCATTAGATAGTTCAGTCGGCAGTTGACGTACCTACAACTGTTTAAGAGAACACTACAAATATATTTTATAATAAAATTAAAAACACGTTCATGCTCTATGCGGACAGATTCATTTGTATTGATCTTAGACACAAAATTGTTATAGATTTAACTTTAAATGACGAGTGGATCATGCCATTAATTGTAATAATAATAAATTCTGATTCAATAAAAATAAACATGGAATATTTAAATGTTTATACTATTTATTGTTCAGTTAGTATTTAATCAAATATTATATACCCACAATCCACATATTGATTTTTAAAATTTTTTTATTATATTGACATATATTATAAATTAATTCTTAATTTTACCACTCAAAGAAATTGCGTCATGATTAAAAAGCTAAATCTATATAATGCGGTTTACTAGCTAGTTGCTACTCAAATTACCCAACACTAATATAGTATAATAAAGTCAAGAGATACAGTTGGCGGCTGACTTGTCTGCAGTGGAGTGGCAATATTACACAGTAAGTATATAGATAGTTGACTTGCTGGGGAGTTACAAACGGGTGTTGCCTGACTGCCACCACATAACAAATCATCTTTGACTGTGTTCTTAACTTGAACAGAATATAGCAGCAGCTTAGAAATAAGGGTTTTCTTAGGAACAATATAGTTTGTAATTTGTGTACCATAAGGTTCAGATTGGAAAAATTATCTTTAAAATTACATGAATTAATTTTATTTAAAATACAAAAATATAGGAAGAAACTCTGCCTATAAGAGTAATTAAAAAAAAGTGTATCTATAGTTATTATTGTTCAGTTAGTGGATATAACTATATAAGACAATCAAAAAATGACAAATATATATTATAACATTATGCTGAAAGTAAAAAATTATTCAATTTTATAAAATAAAAATATGAGAAATGATGATACATAATATTAAAAGCATATAAAGTTATTTCTTGATGTAATATAAAATAGTTTACTAACACTTGAATAAATATTAAATTTAAAATTATATTAAGTATGACAAATAAGTAGAGAAACTCAATAAATATATTTATAAGTAATAATTAATACTTTTTTTAAAAATTCAGGCATTTAGTAATAATATACAATTATAGAAATTTTCAAAAATTATGTGCACTTATGTAAAAAATAAGTTACTTTTTTTAAATAATCTAGACTTTTTTGTATTAACTATACCATTGTATTTAATCATGTTTAGGAACTAATACTATCAATGTCAAACAATTTTGATGACACAATGGAGATCTTCAGCAGTAGGTCTGTGTTTGGCTGTGATCTTTAAAAATTTTCTAATCTTCCGATAATAACCAGGACAATTCCATGTGGTATTATGCGAACCTCTTCTAAACCTTACAATTTGTTTTAAAGGGCCACAATAAGCATCAAATAAATTTGTCATCATTGATGGAGGAACTAATGTATCTTCTTCGCCAGAAACAAACAATATTGGTACCTGAAGTTTGCCCATTTTCCAATTGGACATATACTGAGACAAAGAAGAAAAAAAGATTAAAAAAATTAGATTATTTTTTTTATATTTCATTAAAAATACCTTGTTTTTGTACAAAAATAAAGGGATATATTTCAAAAGTTCAGAAGACATAAGTTCAATCGCCATATCTGGTATACATGTAAATGTATTCTCAACAATTACACACCAGATTTTTTGAGTATATTCTAACCGAGCAGCTACATCAATGGCAACTGCACCACCTATAAAATAATATGYATGATTAAATATTTATCTATGATTGAAAAATACCCACAGAAAAATGCATTACCTAATGAACGTCCAAATACTATAATTCGACCAAGATTTAGATCATTACGAGTAAATATAAAGTCTATAGCAGCACTTGCATCCATGTAGAAACCTCTTTCTGAAGGTGTTCCTTGTGACAATCCATACCCACGATATTCCAGCATTACTATGTTGCATCTCAGTTCATTATAGAAGCCCACTACATTTGTTAATCTACATGTGCATTTAAAAATATTTTTAAAACCAATATAATTGAGTAAAATATTTTTTATACCTATGGCCCATGTTTCCTGCATTTCCGTGCAAGAATAAAATTGTTGGCACCACCTTAGAAAAATCTCCTGGTTGTTTTATCAAGAATAAGTGTAAACGTGTACCATCTAAACTTTTGATGAATATGTTTTCATATGGCAGACCGTACATTGATGGCTGTGGTACAAAAATACGAGAGTGATCAGGCAGATCTGGATAATATAATAAGTAGTCTTCCGAATGGTAAACAAACCCTGATAATAAAATAAAATAACAAGATAAGGATGAATTATGCTGAAGCACAATACTGGTGTGTTCAACAGTCAACAATAAATAGAATGTATTTACTAACCGACAATACTCATAAGCAGAAAAGATAATGCCAGTAATCCGCCACAGAACCAGTATATAAAAAAAAACGTGATGACCGTGGCTCCAGCACTGAGAGCACTGAACGCCATGTAACAGTTTGTCGACATAGTCCGCCACACTGGCAGGCAAATTTTGTCCTTGCGGACAAACCATGTTTGCAATCTTTCCATCGGAAGACAAGGCCAACTAATGGAGCGCTACAATCAAGCAAACCATAAATTATTCAAGCAGATAATGTTAAGTACTGTGGGCATTTATTCTTTAAACCACACAGAAGGTAACAAATCTGAATACATTTAACATTTAAGCATGGATGGAACATAATGGGATTTTCACACTTAAATGGTTACTCTCCGTTATTTGTCATCGTCGTCGGACTCTTACCTGCAAATCAAACGTCGTTTTTTTTCCTCTTCGTTTTCTGTCCGCGTTCCATTTTACATCAACTAACAGACACTTCGAAGAGTGCAATTAGTGAAAATCGAGGTTCTGTGCCTCACAAGCAAAATCAGAAAGAAAAGAAATTTGAATAACGTTTCCGAGTATGATAAGTGCCGTAAAAACTAAAAAGTAAATAAATAAAGGRAAAAAGTAATCTCCGTYCCCAATAATCGCTATCAGAATATTTTATTTATATCACGATTCACGATGCGCTTTACCGTGACTATAYGGTGGACGGTGTTATCTGCRTTTTATACAAGAAATAAGAATATTGAGATAATGAAACTAAACAGGGACAATTAATGGTGTTCTAAACTCTTGTAGAGTTTTGGATCCAGTACGACCAGACGTCGTGTCCAGTATAACTAAAGCAGTTGAAAAGTCCATTGACTATGACCGTAGACGGTTTATTGTTGTTCCATAATAAATTATTAACATCAAAGTATCCAACACAAAATGTTCTGTTATCATGTCAAGGGTTTATTGGATAGTATCTATAGCTGCTGAGGTTTTGCGGTTGTTGTAATCTATTGAGATAAAAAATAAATATTAAATGCACAAATATGGTCACGTTATCTAATATTATAGTCGTGTGACAGACATTCAAAATATATTGAATATTAGTGCACCGAGCCACCGACCACGATTTAAGTAATTCCTTAGTTCATAATTTAGAGTTTTCTATGCTGTTAGTTATTGCTTATTTAATATTAGTCATTACCTAGTTCCCTGACAAGTGTAAGTTATCTACGTTCAATATATTATTTCGGTATTTTAGTTCAATTTCTGAATCGTTTGCTAAAGAAACTATTGACATCACTATTCGTTGTTCGAAAAATGTGCCGTTGTCTGTTGTCTAAGCGCTGGTTKGTGGCCACCGTTGGCCGCACTTACGACGTTTCACATAGCCATCATCGTCTCCAACGGTTCTACTCGAATAGGAACGTGTTGAAGTTGTATGAACGACAAATCATACAAAACATGTTTCCCGATAATTCTAGGTAACATCAACTTAAAAATGGAATTTAATTGTTCATATTGAACTTAATGTTTTAACAAAATAATGTACCATTGTTATTATATTCCAGCAATGAAATAATTGATTTATTGACAAAGAGAAACCAATGTGTTTATGCCGGATTTGACCCGACAGCGGACAGTTTACATATAGGAAACTTACTTGTAATTATGAACCTATTACATTGGCAGCGTGCCAATCATAAAGTTATTGCATTGGTCAGTCATTAGTTATTTATTTTATGCGTGGTTTTATAAATTGTTCAGTTTTATAATAAATTTTAGATTGGTGGCGCCACAGCTCAAATAGGTGATCCAAGTGGAAAATCAAAAGATCGTGATAAACAGTCTTCACAAATGTTATTCCATAACATTAAAGGCATTACCCGCAGCTTACAATCCATATTTGACAATCATGCAAAATACTTCTGGAAACAAAAGGATCCTCTGCCAGAGCCAATGTGAGCATTTAGAGGTACTCTTGTTGACTTGGCTTGATTTTTTGATTAAAATAATTTAAAACTAATTGCTATTCTATATGAGCAATATTATAATGATAAACATTGGTAATATTCTATTTTTAAAAAGCAATTATTGAATATTAAATATTTATACATTTAATGATTTTGATAATTTGGTGTTTATAGAATAATTAATAACATGGATTGGTATGAAGGTATTGGGGTCATTGACTTCATGAACAATATTGGTCGACATTTCAGGATGGGTACCATGTTGTCCAGGGACAGCGTTAAGACACGTCTATCTGGTAGTGGTATGAGTTTTACCGAGTTTACTTACCAGACTTTTCAAGCTTATGATTGGCTACATTTGTTTAAAAATTACAAATGTTTATTTCAAGTAAGTATAACTATATAATTATTTTAATGAAATAAAAACAAATATTTATTATATTTTAGATAGGTGGAAATGATCAAATGGGAAATATTATGTCTGGTCAAGAACTAATTAGTCGACAAGAAAATGCCCAAGTTTATGGTAAACTAATTGTAAAAATGTTGTCTTAATTAATGTCCTGATTTATATTCATTTGAAACGCCTAAAACATTTTGCAAATATTTTCTAAAACACCTTCAAATATTCTCCTTATATTTTCTAAGAAATTTAAGAAAATATACAACAATAATTGTTGTATATCAATATAATATGCTTCATTATGTTTTATTTTTATTTATTTATWTAATATTTTTAATTAATATACACTTGCGTATTAAAATTGTGTTTTTTTTTTACTTTAATCATTTTAAAAACTTATTAATGCTAAATTCCAAAACAATTACAAAATATTTAAATATTTGATAAACTATAAACATACATGTTGATCTTATTAAAACGGAAACAACTGCCTGGATTACAGATTATACCCTATGTTTAGTAAACAGCATGGTAACTTATGATAGAATAACACTGATAAAAATTTGTTTTTGTAAATTTAATGTCTGAAAAAAATTTCTGGGTGCTGTAATATTAAAAATTATATTTTTCACACAACTTACAAAATTTTCAAAAATATGCTTAATAAGCAAAATATTCTTTAACTTATGAAATATTCTCAAATATGCAAGAAAATTTTTCCTACTAAATTAAATTTGAATAAATTGTACACATTTTTTAATCTCATTAGACTGCGTAGACTCATTTACAATGTGTAAAAACAAATAAATCCAGTCTTAAAATATAAATTTATAAACTACTAAAAAATGTTTTTACTTCACAAATATTATTCAAATTAACAAAAAATTAAATTTATTTTATAAATAAATAAAATTGAAAAATTGAAAGTTTAGTTACTTATTCTCTAAAAAATTATTATTAATTTTACAGTGAAAATGAATGTGCAAGTTATGAATTTTCTAGCTATGAATTAATATAAGCTTACATAATTATGTAATTTTTTTACAGGACTTACAGTACCATTAATAACCACAGACTCTGGGGATAAATATGGTAAATCAGCTCAAAATGCTGTATGGCTGAACTCAGATCGAACTTCACCTTTTGAACTTTACCAATTTATGATACGCACAATAGATGCTGATGTAGAGAAACTGTTAAAAATGTTTACATTCCTTTCACTACCTGAAATAGCTGAACTGATGAGAAGACACAAAGTAAATAATAATAAAATACTAAATGAATGATCACTTTTAAACTTTTTTGTTCAGGCTACCCCCGATAAACGGATTCCTCATGAATCATTGGCACGTCAAGTTACCACTTTGGTACATGGAGGTATAGATTAAAGTGTATATATTTTTAACCATTTTATACTGATTATTATGCCTACTTTTTTAGAAGAGGGTCTTCAAGAAGCWTTAGTAGCAACATCGGCATTATATGATAACAGCATTGAAACTCTTAGTACATTGAGTGTTAATGATATTTTAAAAATATTTAATGGCGCAACTGTTGTTGAACTAATGCTTGAACCTGGCCTAACTGTATTGAAAATGGCAATGGATGCTAAATGTTTTCTGACAGATAGTAATATTCTTAAGTTATTATTTAAAATAAATATAAAATGAATTATTATGATACACATTATGTTCTTATCTATAGGGGATGCATATCGAATAATTTCAGCTGGTGGATTTTATATTAACCATCAAAGAATAACCAAAATAGATGAAATTGTAACTCTATCTATACACATTTTACCTAATAAAATTTCTTTAGTGAGAGTTGGTTAGTAAAAATATTTATCAAAAATTACCTTAGATTTATTTTTGTATATCTCAAAAATCAAAAATCATATAATTTACCATTATTTTTAACTTTGTTAATTTCTTGGACTATTATAAATCATTTCAGTATTAATGTCTTATCTATTTTATCTATTTTAGGTAAACGAAATTATTGGATTGTTAAGTGGATAATGTAAAATAAGAATAGATCAAGACTGCTGAGAAAAAAGAGTTGATATACTAGATAATAAAAATACATTTTTGAAAAACATAAATAAATTGTTTATTTCAAAGTCCTTTCTCATAATATTAAGATCTTAAGTCTTGCGGTATAAATAAATATATTAATAAATAAAAAAATTATTATCAAGTTGTAAAACCAATTTAGTTACTTGGAAAATAACTTAAACCGCATATTAGACATAATTTGCATCCATAAAATTGGAACACAGTAGATACAGTCTTGTTCCAAGCAATAGTAAGTAAATAACAATATTTCACACTAATTACAATTTTAAACAATTTGTTTGGAAATAAATATAATTACAAACATTTTCGTACCCCACAGTAAAATGATTAAGAAATCAGCTTTTASTWGATTTTTTTAACTTTACGTAATAAGACATAAACATTGTAATTTGAAACACATAGTATTCTAATATGTCATGTTTGTAAGTTAAAAGACTAAAAGATTTATTAATTTAAAATTCGACAGTGAATGGAAAAAAATTAAATCTTGTAGATTATTTAATTCATAATGAGAAAAGTATTTCATATTAGGGTACACAATTGATAAGTAATATTATCATGTTTTACCAAATTATGATTCTTTATAAATTAAATATTGAAAATGTAATCAACTGCTATTGATTTGAAAGTATTCATGGAATAAATTTTAGAATGATAAATATTTTTTGACTGGTAACGTTTCAGTCATTCATTGAGTGATTTATATAAACGAAAATTAAATTTTCAATAATATAAATAAATTGGCTTTGGATGAAATATATGCTGCATTTGGTTTAAAACATTAAATGGCTGTTATTTCTTGTTGGTGTAAATCTTGAGGTGAGCCAACTTTGTCAACACACTTCCATAAGCCATATGTCTTTCCAATGGTTGTTTGCCACAAACGCAAAGTTCCATCTTCAGAGCCGGAAGCATATAGCTCACCGTCAGGTGAGAAACGGACRCAGTGAACGGGCCCAAAATGACCTTTGAAAGATTCTGAAAATAAAAATAATTATATATAATATATTAATAGACTTTGTTGGCATTCAAAATCAATAAATTTACCAATTTCTTTTCCAGTGGTGTAATCAAATTTATACATTTTAAGATCTTCCCCCCCACACACAAACATAGTTTTATCTCTGTGCAATGATGCAGTATTAACAAGTGTTGGCACAGTGACTTCATTGACTTTTGACAAACTGTAAATTACCACAAATAATTATTAAATTTGATCCCATAAAAATATAAATAGTGGAATAATTATTACCTCTCAGCGTTCCAAAAACTGACACAACTTCCATGTGCAATCGTAACAATAGACTCGTCTCTGGAAACTTCTAAACTGGTTGGTATAGCACTGAATTCCATCTTGTGAATTTCCTAAATAAGATAATAAATTTAGATACTAAAAAAAAAAATTAATAAGTTCAACATTTGAAAAGTTTTTTAACGCACTTTTCCAGACAAGGGATCCCAAATTCTTACTGTTTTGTCATCAGCACATGAAATTATCCTCCTATCATTTTGAAAGAACATGACATGTTTAATACCAGATGTATGTCCATTGAATGTAGTAACAGCTTCTATAAATTATTATAATAATTTAAGATCTACTATCCTATAAAATAATTTATTAATATACAGATGTCCTTCAGATATCTGACATTCTGATAAATGAAATAACTTTTGTTCTAATTAATATTTTTTAAATATAATCCATTTAATTAACTACAAGCGCTACATTTTTAGAATACATTTTTTATTTTTTAATACCGAAAATAAAAAACTTAAAAATTGATAAATTTTTTTCTAAATATTCAATATAGCCAATTTGTAAATTTGATTTT